CCCTACACCCCAAGCCCTAAACCCGAAACCCTAAACCCTGAACCCTAAACCCTGAACCCCTGAAACCCTAAACCCTAAAGCCTAAACCCTGAACCCTGAAACCCTAAACCCTAAAAGGTCCCTGAGTCCACCCGAATCCCCGGGGCTGGAGCCTGACCGCAAGCTCTTGGGCGACTTCCCTGGCCGCTACGGTTTAGGGTTTAGGGTTTGGGGTTTAGGGTTTAGGGTTTAGGGTCTTTGTGCGCTAGGCGCAAGGCTAGTATAGAGTGGCCTTCATCAAGTAGAACGAGGGGAAGGCTGGTGTAGGGGCCTTTATGATTAGAATAGGGTTTCCAGCCCCTATACTGGCGGGTCGGAGGGTTGGAAGGTTGGACGTTGCAATTTGTAGCCTTGAGGGCTGAAAGCTTGGTCTAGGCTTTTGGCAGCAGCGGTAGTAGTAGTAGTAGTAGTAGTAGTCGTCGTCGTCGTCGTCGTCGTCGTCGTCGTCGTCGTTGTCGTCGTCGTCGTCGTAGTACTCCTCCTCCTCCTCCTCCTCCGCCTCCTCCTCCTCCTCCTCCTCCTCCTACTACTACTACTACTACTACTACTACTATTACTACCACCACTACTACTGTTAGTAGTAGTTGTTGTTGGTGTTGTAATTGCAGTTATAGTTATAGTTACTAGTAATAGTTATAGCTGTAGTTGCACTGGTAGTCTATGTGTACTTGTAGCTGTAGCGTTGTTGGTTGTTGGTTGTTGGTTGCTGATTGCTCCTTGTTGGTGTTGGTTGTCGGTTGTCGGTTGCCGGTTGTTTGTTGCTTGTCGCTTGTTGCTTGTTGCTTGTTGCTTGTTGCTTGTTGGTTCGTGGCTTGTTGTTTGCTATTTGCTGTTTGTTGCTCGTTGTTTGTTGTTTTTTGTTTGTTATTTTTTGTTTGTTGTGGTGGTGGTGGTGGTGGTGGTGGTGGTGGTGGTGGTGGTGGTGGTGGTGGTGGTGGCGGCGGTGGTGGTGGTGGAAGTAGGGACTAGGAAGTAGGAAGTGGAAAGTAAAGGGAGGGAAGCAACACTAGTCGCAACAGTCAGAGCCTTGCACGGCCCCAAAGTCGCTTCCCAAGCGGGTCACGGGTTATTGGTGTTAGGGTTTAGGGGTTTAGGGGTTTAGGGTTGAGGATTCAGGGTTTAGTTTAGGGTTCAGGGTTCAGGATTATTGGGTTTAGGGCTTAGGTTTAGGGTATTCCTTTGGGCTCCTTGTTCTAATTAAACCTGGTCTTAAAACTTAATGTTTAGGCCCCTATTCCATAAGACCCTTACAGTAGCCCTTACAGCAACCCGTGGCTAGCACCCGTAAAGGAACCGATTCTCATAATTTAGTCAGCCCTGAACCCCACCCTAAACCCTCCAGAATCACCCTAAACCCTAAACCCTAAACGTCCAAAGAAGGGCCGATGCGGTCCTGATGGGGCCGGCTTCGGATTTGCCGCACTGCGGAGCTTGTTCTGCTCTTGCCTGGGCAACAGGAAGATCGAGCCTAATATACAGACCTTAAACATCAGAATAGATCAGAATACGTAGCGTTTTGGGGGCTGGATAAACTTCAAACCCTAAACACTAAACCCGAAACCCTAAACCGTCTGATTAAAAGGAGACGCAAAACTGCTCTTGAAATGCTCCCAGCATTTCGACTGCCTGGACTTCCTTGGGGTCGACGCTGACATGCCGCTGAGGCACTGACCATCTGAGGGTTTAGGGTTTAAGGTTTAGGAAAACCCTCACAAACCCTCAACCCGAAACCCGAAACCCTAAACCCTTACAAACCCTCACTAGGGCCCTCACCATCTTTTCATGAGGTCTTGGTGCTGCTGATGCTGCACCGGCAGCTTGGGGACATCGAAGGTCTGCTTAGCCTCGGTCACGGTCACCACCTCCTGGAGGGGTTTAGGGTTAAGGTGTTTGGGTTTGTAAACCCAAAACCCTAAACCCTAAACCCTAAACCCTAAACCCAAACCCTAAACCTCTTTCCCATCCGCACACAGGTCTGGCCTCTAGGAAAGCCCTATGGGGCAGGCGGGCCGGTAAAGTACCTCAGCCTCAAGAAACACATCGACGATCTCACCCCTGCGAACTTCCAGGGGTTTAGGGTTTAGGGGCTTGGGGTTTTAGGGCTCTTTAGGGTTGCTAGGGTTTAGGGTTTAGGGCTTTTAGGATTTAGGGTTAAGGGTACTTACTGGATCATGGGACTTAGTAAGTAGGATCATGGGACTTAGTAAGTAGAGTTATAACTAAAGTAACTATACTTATATTGACTTATAACCCCAAGTAAGGGACCTATGACCGTACCAAGTACCTTTAACCCTCAACCCTAAAAGCCCTAAACCCTATACACCCCAAGAAGCCCCTAAACCCCAAGCCCCTAAACCCCAAACCCTAAACTCTATAAACCCCCAAGAAGCCCCTAAACCCCAAGCCCCTAAACCCTAAACCCTAAACCCTGAACCCTATAAACCCCAAAAAGCCCTCAAACCCCAAGCCCCTAAACCCTAAACCCTAAAACCCTGGAAGGTATCCCTTCAAAGAAACCCTAAACCCTAAACCCTAAACCCTAAACCCTAAACCCTAAACCCTAAACCCGTATAGTGTATCCCTTCGAAAGGGACCCCAAGCCCTCCGAGCTGAGTACAGCAGCAGCTCTGGGAGGCCGAGCGGCTTCAAACCCCGGAGCCCAAGACCTTCCAGAGACTCCAATACTCCTTAATTAAGGAATATACCTTAAATTATAGTAGGATACCTAATAAGATTTAAGGTATATTCCTTAATTAAGTGGTATTGGGGTCTCTGACCCGACCCTCCAAAGACTCTAAGACTTAGGGTTTAGGCTTTAGGGATTAAGGGTTTAGGGCTTAGGGCTTTGGGTTTAGGGTTTAGGGTTTAGGGCTTAGGGTTTAGGGCTTAGGGTTTTGGGTTTAGGGTTTAGGGTTTAGGGCTTAGGGTTTAGGGGATAGGCTTTACGCTTTAGGCTTTAGGGCTTAGGGCTTAGGGTTTAGGGGTTAGGCTTTAGGCTTTAGGGTTTAGGATTTCGGGTTTGGGGTTTAGGGGTTTAGGGGTTCCGCCCCTTCATGAAGCGATGACAAATGTAGGGGCCTGAATAATTTGAATAAGGTCTTGGGGCCCATTGTAGCCTACT